CGTGCTGCCATTCATGGGGTTGCAAAGAGTCGGACATGACTGAGTGACTGAACTGAACTGAACTCAGCACACACACACATACATCAAATTATTAAAGTACATATCACCTGATCAGGAGAAATACTAACAAAAGTGTATTTTAATAAGTATTCTCACTGACACAAACTGTCCCTGCAAAACTGGAGTGGTCATTATAGAGATACTTTAGGAGAACTTCTTGCATCAAATGGCAGAGTAGAGTTGAAAGCTCAAAATTCTTACTATAAGCTCTTGTTGTTTAGCTACAGAAAGAGAAGGAAGCCATTTTACTGGCATCACTTTCTTTACCTGCCTTCCCCTAGGCAAATGCTACTTTTTTCTATGGAAAGAATCAAGATTGAGTGAGCATTCAGAGCCTTTACATAAACCTTGATGAGTTTAGAGCCACTTAGTATGATTATGCTGGGGAGAATGTAAATAACAGGCAGAGGCAGAAGTGAAATGCTATGGAAGCCAGGAAACCGGAGTGAGAGTGTACCTAACTCCAGATGAGAAGGTTTAGACAAAAAAGCAGATGAGTCTTCAGGTGAGTCTTGAAAGAAGAGAAATTCATTAGAGAAAAAATAAGATGCACGTAAGTCATTCCAACGTCTGCAAAAGCAACAAAGCTAAGTGAGATGCCTACAGCACAAAAAGCCCAAGGTATATGGGATAACAGTTCTTATGAAATAGCACTGCTTTTCATTTGTTTAGATGTATTCATTGCATTCACCGAACTCAAGTAACAAAATTCTCTGTTCTTATTTCATCTTCACTCAAAAGTTTCTCTTCCCCCACATTTTCTTTTATGACTTCGGTTTCCTATGGCCAGACAATACCTGATCTCACTGTAGCTTTTTCTGACCATATCAGTCAATCAAATATTTCAGATTTGGATTTGCCATTTGAGCAAACACAAGATACAGTTTTATATTTTATTCCTAGCACTTTTATTGGATAGTCTCCTGTTTAGATCATTCCCAAGTACTATTGCAACAACACAAATGGGAGAGTTATAAAGTGTAACTCCCATGTTCATTCTTGGGCCTTATCTAATAGTTGATTATCTGCTCTAGAGGATCTTTCCCCAACCCCATCTTTGTTCTTGCTCACTTCTGAATTCTACTTCCTCCCTTCTCACTTCCATTTTCAAAATAGTAGTGATTATTATTGCCAAGAATATTGAAAAACAAACTTGAGTTTAATTATACGTTCCAGAAAGGGCTTCATATTCCTAGTCCCTTCATTCTTGATTTCTTTTCTAATTTTTTGCCCAGCTCAAATTTTATTTAACTGCTTTGAAATTATACTAAAGTGCCCAATATATTCTATATATTTTAATTTTAATCCTGTTATTCAGAATTCCAGTTCTCATAAATTTGAAATGAATTGCTTCTTATAAAAACCTCAACAATTTAGTCACAGTAAGAGAAGAAAATACCTTATAAAAACCAGAAAAAATAGATGAAACTTGAATATAGGATCAATTCAAAATCTACACAAAAACTAGAAATTAGATAATTTTGGAAATTAAGATCCAAAAGATCAAGCAATGTTCTAATTTTGCAAGTACAAAATCTAAGAATCTGAAAGTGATAAATAATATAGTTTTAAAGCCCAGAATCAGAATGTAAAGGTAATCTGACTCCCAATTAAGTTTGTATTTCCATAATCCTCATGTTTCTGAAGTTTAGCACTCTACTTTGAATACAAGATATCTGATACCTGTTTGCTAGATCCAGCTAAGACGAATAAATTATATTTATTCCAATCCAGCAAATCTGAATATATAGGAACCTGCTAAGCACTATACTAATTCCACTGATTGCAAAGGCTCCTGTGCCAAACTGTAAGGTAGGGACTTTTCACGAAGCCCTACATGCACAGTGCTTATGGCTTAATGATTTTAATGGCCCCCAAAATAATTCAGATCTAAAAAAACTGGCTTCTAAATAAAGTTTCCTTAAAATTTCATCAATAACAGAATCATATGTCCGGAAAATCCTGAGTTCAAAGTTGTTGTAAGTTATAGGAAAAACTTATATTTGATATGATGCTTCTAGCATCATATCAAATGTTTTAAGCTATACTAGTGTGTTAGCCATTGCACATTAATTTCATTGTGAAATATAATCAGTAGTTTTACAGTTTGCATCATCACATAAAAAATGTTGTAATTATATTTGTATATATATGTGCTGAGTCACTTCAGTCGTGTCTGAATCTTTATGACCCTATTAACTCTAGCCCTCCAGGCTCCTCTGTCCATGGGATTCTCCAGGCAAGACTATTGGAGTGGGTTGCCATGTCTTCCTTGAGGGCATCTGCCCCACCCAGGAATCTCTTATGTCTCCTGCATTGGCAGGCAGGTTTGGTGCTAGTAGTAAAGAAACCTCCTGCCACTGCAGGAGATGTAAGAGACGCTGGTCGATTCCTGGGTCAGGAAGGAGCCCTGGAGGAGGGCTTGGCAACCCACTCTAATATTCTTGCCTGTAGTATCCCATGGACAGAAAAGCCTGGAGGGCTACAGTCCATAGGGCCATGAAGAGTCAGACGTGACTAAAGTGACTAAGCACACACACACCCCCACACACATTCTCATTACAAATCGAGAACATTAGTAAAAGAAGACTAGAAGAGAAACTTGGTAAAAGAATTCTATGTTTGATTTGTTAGATTAAATACATTTTTTAAAAAGGTAGTGCATCTCAAGTAAGTTTATAGATTTAAAGCAGTTACAATTAAAAATCCAATGAGAATACTTTTTAAATTTGACAAAGTATAAAATATAAATTAAAAAGCAGACAATCATGTCAGCTAACAGTTTTCTCCCACAATATATGTGAAAAAATATCAAAGTGGGTCATTGTTTTTAAAAATAGGAAAAGTAAAATAAGAGATCCAGAAGAAAGCCCAAGCCAAGCAGGATGGCATATAATGAAAGGAATGAGAGTTATTGTCAAATGGAAGGTCATAGAACAACTAGATATCAACAAGTTAAAAACAAATATAAGGCCATATTTGAAATTTTTTAAAAGAAATTCTAGATGAAATGAATTTTAAGAAAAGACCATAAAGTTTAGTGAATTTGATGGTTAAAAAACTACACAACATATGACCATACAATATTAAAAAAGAAAGAAAAGCTTCTGATTAGGAAACATTTTAGGGTAAACATAGCTATTAAAACAGTAATACTCAATATTTATTAAAGTGATACAAGCCTACACAGAAAAAAGTGCCAAAGAAAAATATTAAAAATTATAAACAAAAGCAAGTTGCTACCAAGCCAACTCCTAAACCTAGTAAAACAAAATAAGTTAAAATTTTAAAAATAAATGTAAATGCTAATAAGGTGATGGTGAACCCAGATACAGTCATATATTATGATAGCTTAGAGTTCTGCTATTTTATATAAAACTACAAAGATATTAATTCTATGAGCCAAAAAATAGGTAAAAGCATTCAATTGTTAGTAAATTGCTAAGCAGATAAGAGTATATTAATAAAAGCAAAACCTATGTTGCTTAATTTCCTTTCTTCTATACCCTTGACTAACATACACGAACACACCCTTTTAAGTAGGTAAAAGCACTTTTTAATTTATTTATTTTTAATTGACGGATAATTGTTTTACAGTATTGCATTGGTTTCTACCAAACATCAACAAGTGAAGAAATGAAACCCTACAGAAAATCATTTAATTCAAATACTACTTAATTCTGACAATATTCCAGGAACAATGTTGGCATTAAATCATAGACACTGAGCAATATACAATATACCTTTGTGGATCTCACAAGCCAGTAAATATTGAAAATAAATCTGTAAGGTTAGTATAAATTGTCTTAAAATTCTATAAATAGTTCATATTAAGATAAAGAGATTCTTTAAGTGCAATAAATCAATATTGGAATTTGGGTGGCTATGATTAAGTTATGACATAAATGTAAAAACATGTAATGGTTTCTTGAACACATTTGGTTCATATTTGTTGCAAAACAGAAAATAATATTTTTGAGATATATTGAATTCTTTCTTATCCTAGATTATTTTTCCACTTATATTTTATGTAGTTACATAAACACACCTTTGCCATTACAGTATTTTTCATATTAAGTGCTTTTCCATCAGAAAATAATATTTTTGAGATACATTGAATTCTTTCTTATCCTAGATTATTTTTCCACTTATATTTTATGTAGTTACATAAACACACCTTTGCCATTACACTATTTTTCATATTAAGTGCTTTTCCATCTTCAAGTAGAGATGAATTCATTGTGGCTTCAAATTTCCTAACTCTGTTTGGCTTGTTTTATTTATTTCTGAAGTTCCTCTAAAGGCTTGTGAATCATAATGCACAAGAAAAACTTGAGGGTGATACAATAGAACTAAAAGTGACTTAATGAGTAGTGAAATGATTTCAAAATTATAATCAATGTTTTAGTGTTCTATTCTCATTTTGGGATTGCAGTGCATAATTGTCAGTGGCACACATTATTCTACAATATTCCATTGTGCTAAGAAAAAAAAATCACTGTGCTTTTAAAGAGCTCTCACATGCTTTCTTTTAAATCAATTTATTTTTTAAATATGAATTGTGATTTAATTTCAAAATAGCATTCTTTAAAATGAAATATTTCAAATTCATTAATACTAAAACTTCTTATACAACTCAATTTTTCTAGAGCTAGCATCATGACCAAAATAAAATCACATAAAATTATAATTATGTAGAGTATGTGTTGACTTACGCATACATGTACAGCTAATATAAGCATTTCACGTATATATATATATATATATATATATATATATATACAGCTAATATAAGCATTTTACTGACCCTCAACTGAAGAAAAATTTCAAAGTATAAATAAAATACTAATTAGATTTTCAGTAGGTAATAAAAAAGATTTACTTAAAAACCTAGGCAACCATTTTATATTTTATTGTATCTTAAGAAAGTAAACCATTACCTGTGCAAGAATGGGGAAGCCAAGGTTCCTACATCCATTACAAGGAGTTAATGCTTCCCAGAGTCCTGAGGGCCCACAAGTGTTTTCATCATCATCATCATCTTCCACTTCTCCTGGTGACAAATTTATTGTAGATGAAGTTCTCTGAAATTAAATTTATATCATAGCAATATATTATATCAATGTCAGTTAGATATCTTAACATCAATTAAATTACATAAATTTCTCATGGTGTATGTTAGCAAGAAGAAATTAGCTTAATTCTGCGCATAGTTATGTGGCTGTGCTATGGAAATCAACCAAAAAATAAGTATAATTCAATTCTAAGTTGAATGTGAAAGAAAACAAAGTGAAAAAACTGGGTGACAAAGATTGGTAAATTGCAAAGTTCATATTGAAGAATAGGACATGAAAATGACTCAAGAGAACATAGAAACAGCAACAAATATTTTGATTTCTAAAGCAATCAGAGGAACAAACTGAAAATGTTGAAATAGGAATTGATAAAAAGTCCATTTTTTCACAATGTCATCAAAAAGTAGACTCATTTTTGGAAAAAAAAAAGAAATTCATAAAATTTCATATTATATGCATAAGAGGGGTATGTGCTAAGTCGCTTCAGTCATGGTCAACTCTTTGCAACACCTAGACTGTAGCCCACCAGGCTCCTCTGTCCATGGGATTCTCTAGACAAGAATACCGGAGTCGGGAGCTATGCCCTCCTCCAAGGGATCTTCCACACCCAGGGATTGAACCCGTGTCTCTTGTCTCCTGGGAAGCCCTTGTAAGAGGGGTGATACTTTTAAAGTTAATAATAGGACTTCCATGCTAAGCAAACATATTTAGTTTTGCTACTTTCCAAATCTCACCTAAATGACAGCAAAACTTTTGCAAAAATGATCTTAACCATAAGGACAAGGACAACAGGAGGGAAGTTAATAGATGAGCAATATCAAGAAAACATCTAGAGGCTCAAAAAAAAAAAGAAAACATTTAGACAATGAAAAACAAATGATTTATCAATTTCATATAGAAAACTTGAGGAAACGGAAAGCAAATTGTCTGCAAAGAGGAAGAATAAGAAGCAGATCTACTCATGATTCAACACCTCTAAAGGACTTAAGAATAAGAGAGACTGACTACCTGTGAGGTAATAATGCAAGACATTTTGTAGGTGTTGGTGGAGCTAAAACAGAATAGAAACTCTATACTAGAAATTAGACCCCAAACTCATCACCCAGCCAAGAAAATAAACCTTCACCACCTGACAAGAAATTGGAGATTTACTTTCTGGTGAGGTTGAAGCTAAGGGATTATGAATTCTAAGAAACCAGGCACAATGAACTGAGGGATGCCTCTTTAAAAACAATGAAATTAAGTGAATATCTATGTAGTAAATAAAGATGCTCAACCTGCCCCAGTGCCTTCTTCCCACATTTGTCTTAGAGAACATGGCAGCTAAGTATATATCTCCCACGTAGCAGATGAGAGTATACTCCTCTGGACTGCTCAAAAAAAAAAAAAAAAAAACAACAACAACCAATCTCTAAGTACTTAGGAAAATGGTAGAGGGGCCCATGTCTTAATGCTTACTGTGAAACCCCTCCTCAACAAACTTCATCCACATAAACAGTTCCTAATTTTTCAGTTAAATATGAACAAGGGTATAATGATAGCCATATATTGGGAAGAAGCTTTTAACAGGCCAAACTAAATATACAGAGAAAAATTATAAACAGTATCCTCAGAAAGAGAGAGAATACATAAAATCCAATAGAAGAGTTGGAAAATAAGTCTGAGCAAATTCCCCAGAGGACAGAATAAAATAAGTCAAAAGTTAAGAAAATTAAGGGATCAAACTAAGAGTTCCAAGTAGAGGTAAAAAGAGATTGTCAAAGTATCAATGCAAGAAATTTTGCCAGAATGAAAGAAAAATTCCACATTAAAAGAGCCTGCTGAATATTCAGCAGATAGTATTTTTTTTAAATAGCAAAGACAATAAGTTTGTCTAGAAATATTCAGAGTCTAGTGTTCAGTATAACATTGATAGATCATGATTACTGAAGTTAGTAAAGATAGTTTACATACTGAATTGTAAATAGCACCCATGTCCTGGTAAAAGTTGTTGCTTTAAAAAATATAGCATAAAAGACTTCACAATAAAACTGGTTTTTGCATTCACATCTTACATTTCCCTTTATCAATTTTCAATAACTGAGAAATTAAGAACTTCAATGGTCCTTCAATGAGTTACTGTCTGTAAGATATAATATAATGCTACAGTGCTTTTATAATTATAACACAATAATACAGTGCTACAATCTACTGAGCCCTCTATTATTCATTATTTTAATTCACACAAGACTTTCAGGAAAATACTAAACTAAGCCACAAGAAGTCAAGTAAAACTCAAGGTCATGGAGATTGTAAGTGACAGAAAAATGATCCTAATCCAGACTGCTTATCTCTAGGGCATCCAATCCATATGTTTGATCAATGCTATCTATAAAAATGACTAGAATGATCAAAAGGGCATCTTCTTCACCAACTCATGATCAATTATTGGTTTGACCATCAAGGCTGACACATATGGCAGTATAAATCATATGCTTGGCTAAGAATTATCAACATTTTATAGAATAAGTTTTTTTCTTCTGTCTCTTTCTCTTCCCCAAAGAAAAACTGCTTATGTCGCTTCCCAGCTCATAATTCTTCAGTTACTTCCCATTGTAGAGCAAATAATATTCATATTCCTTAATATGGCTTCAAGGTTTTATGGTCAAATTATTTTTCAGCCCCTTTCTTACTCCCTTTTATTCACCCAAGGCTATAGCCAAATGGAATTATTTATCCTTTCCTAATTTGTTCTGTGCTTTTGTTCATGCCCTCCACCTTACTTCTCCATACAACTGTACTGTACTGGTTAAGAGTTTAGACTCTAAAAATTAGTCCTGGATTCAAGTTCTAACTCTCTTACTTTTTAGCCTACTAATTAGTGTGATTTTCAGAGTATAGGACCACTGGCAGCCTCACTTACTTTATCTATGCAGTGGGAAAATAATACAGTAGTATACACCTCCCTTAGAAATCTTTCCTGAAAAATAAGGTAATGAATATATGGTGCCTGACACACAGTGAGGTTTCAATAAGTATTAACCACTGTTTTTAGCTATTATTCTCCTATAATACTATTGATTCCTCAAAATACAGTTCAGATTTCACCTCTTACATAAAATTTTCTAGATTTATCACAAACAGGAAGGATGTTGCTTTCTTCTGAAAGTCTTCAATTCTTTCTGTCAGTTTGTGTATTCTGTTATTTCACATAGACTTTGAAATGACAAATGGTATAGTGGCAAACAGCAAAAGTTTTAAAGTCAAACAGATATATATTAAATATATTCAAATAGATATATATTCCTGGCTCTGCCACTTGCAAGATGTGTTACTGAGCAAATCACATAATCTTACTAATCCTCAGTTTCCTTATCTGCAAAGTAGGCATAATAATAATTCCTACTTTAAGGGGTTATATGAGGATAAAATTAGTTGCTTGACAGCGGACTTCCCTGGTGGCTCCGAACGGTAAAGCGTCTGTCTACAATGTGGGAGACCTGGGTTTGATCCCTGGGTCGGGGAGATTCCCTGGAGAAGGAAATGGCAACCCACTCCAGTACTCTTGCCTAGAAAATCCCATGGACGGAGGAGCCTGGTGCCCATGGGGTCGCAGAGTGGGACACGACCGAGCGACCTCGCTCACCTCACTCGACAGGTAGATAAAAATACTCAGTACTGCGGCAGTGCTGTCGCTCAGTCCTGTCCGACTCTCTGAGACCCCGCGGACTGCAGCCTGCCAGTCTCCTCTGCCCATGGGATTTTCCTAGCAAGAATACTGGAGGGGGTGCCATTTCTTCCTCCAGGGGCTCCTCTAGACCCAGGGATCAAAGGCGCGTCTTCCGTGTCTCTTGCATTGCAGGCAGACTCTTTACCACTGAGCTACCTCCTATGGAAGCCCATAAAAAATAATCAATAAATGTTATTTTTATTATAATCTTTAGCCTGAAAGAGTTGTATACACACAAACACAAATTATTTGTCTTAGTTAATTGTAAATTATCTGGAAGCAAATATGCCTTATTCATATTTGCATCTCTTACCATAAGTTGTGCATAATGTAATTTAATAATTATTTATTAAATAAATCTTTAATGATTTATTTAATGATTAATTAAATAAACCTTTAATGGAATGAGTTTTAAACTACCATTTCATTTGACTACATAGAAAATTTTACTACAAATAAAAGGTATATATAATTGCATCACAAGTCTCGTTATTGTTATTTTAGTTTTATTTTATATTAACATTTGCCAATAGCATTAGCAAAAATAGCAAAATTTATTTTATAAATTTTGTGGTTTAGTACTGCCCCCTAAAGACAGTTTAGAAGTTAACTATTAGAAGCTAGCTGCCCCCTAAAGACAGTTTTGAAGTTAGCTGTGTACAACTCAATGTTACTCAGTTTGCAAGGTCATGCTACAATTGAGGGTAGATTATAATACAAGTCCTTTGACTCTAGGTCCTATAGTCTTTCTAAGAACTACTAATTAGAAGGAAGCTTCTAATTTCTAGAGCTCTTCAAAGAGACAAAAGATATTAAAAATATTCAGAATATCCACAAAGGAATTTCTGTGTTATGTTATACTTCATCGTTGATGGCCTTTAAATTTTTTTTAAGTCCAAAATTCTGTAAGTCTACAATGTTATGTGGCAACCTGGATGAGAGGTGGGTTGGGGGGAGAACAGATACAGGTGTATGTATGGCTAAGTCCCTGTCTTGTTCATCTGAAGCTATTACAACATTATTAATCAGCTATACTCCAATACAAAATTAAAAGGCTTAAATTAAAAAAAAAAAAGTGTAAGTCTAAGCAATTAAAGTGTACACTGTCCAGGAAAAGGGTCAAGGGTCAGATACGATTCCCATACAGCCTCTTTAATCCCCATTAGCCAGTCCTTGAATGCACGTCTTTAGAAACATGCTGGCAGTAGGAGAAGAGGGAATCCAAGGATGTCCAGTGTTAGTCCCGCCAGGCTCCTCTGTCCATGGAATTCTCCAGGCAAGAATACTGGAGTGGGTAGCC